TATATACATTTGTAGTAAAAAGCAATGATGATTAAGTGCCAAACAATGTAAGTTAACTTAATTGTTTATTTTGTAAATATTTACCTATAACAGTTTAGAATTTAAGTATTTAATTTGGATTTTTATATTATTCACATTATTTTTTGCTGGAGATTTCAGTTGGGGATAATTTATTTGTGTGTACCATTTTATAATATTGTAATGTATCAATAACATTTGTTTTCTCTAGAAATCTTTCAAATAGCTTAATTAAAACTACAAATAAATGTTATTCAAAGCTAAGCGTACCAGATGCAAACTAAAGTATCAACATTACGAGCACCTGTTACCAATTACATAATTTGTTTAATAGCCTGAAACTTAAGGTTGATTGACGAAATCTGTCAATCAGCCTTCTTAATGAATGATTAATCTGTGTTGACATGAAAGTAATTTGTATTTGTTCTTTCCATAATGTTTATCGAAATTAGACATGTTTAACACAGTAGAAAATTTGTCATTTATTGACTTCCCTTTATATAACCAGAAAAAGTTTAACATGTTTAAGTTAAACATTAACCTTATCATATTATGATTGTTACCAATAAGTTGAAAGAAAACAAGACTTAAGCTTTTAATTCAGTCAAGTATAGTAAATGAAAACAAAAGTTACCAGACAGTATTTAAAAGATTCATATATTTAAGGTTTGTGTAAAATATATGCCAGTACGTATTTTCAACTTCAACCTTGAAACGAGTGTAAGACAGAAATTATTTTTGATTTGACTTTTGGTTTGTGCTATTCGTTACTAAATTTAATTCACCCGTTAATAACAAACCATTTTAAATAGGCCTCCCCTTCTATATTTTAATAAAAAGTAGAGCGAACAAGTAGACAGATATTGAGGGCAATCAAAATCATTTGACGATGAACGACAGAAAACAGAAAAAAAAGAGTCAAATTTTGCCTCCAGAAGCTATAAGCGGAAAATTCAAATAAGTAGTAATTTTTATCTCTACATTCTCATAAACCAAACTCCATGGTATAAAGCCATTGTGAGTATTACTAATATAACAAATAGTCAGAATCTGACATTTGCGGAAACTAGGTCTTTACCTAGGATTACACTTAGACTTACGATTACAGTTGACGAAAAACAAGGAGTCCTCTCAAAATAAAAAATAATAAACCCAATTGAGATACATAATGCAAAAACTTATGGTCACAACAGTTGTGAATCGACACAAAGTCCTCATAGCTTTGTGTTTTATTAATTCTCCGAATGCGTGTTCAACCTCTACTCTATAGTGTGTAATATGGCTATTTAATTTTTTACACTTCCTCTGCATATTTTGTGGTTTGTCTCATGTATCATACTGGATATCTGTTCGGATATATTTTATCGCCTAATAAAAACAGCTCAGTCGGGAAAGGTAATTCTTGTCCTATATTTCTCATCAACATATACAGTCCGCCAAAAGTTAAGCACCACCTATCTTTATTGCATCGAAATTTTTTTCATTTAAAAAAACAGTTTATCCTCGAAAAAGAGAAAATATTCATGTAGCAATTTTGCTAACATATGCCATAAACAAACCATAAACTTAAGTTTGGTCACTGATGCAGGTTCTATGCATTTGAATTTTGCGTTCATAGAAATAGTGAAAATTACACAAATCAGAAACGGAATTTAAGTTTTACTTTGATTTTATTTTTTTACAACAATTAATCACCCAAAATCATTAAAAGTCTCTACAAATAATCTTTGGTATGTTCGGCAAATTTAATGTCAATATTTAAGTCAATAGGATGTGTAACCACCTCTCTTCCGGTACAGTTCCATAACACGGCGTCTCATACTCTGTACAAGCCTTCTGAACTTTAGTTGAGCAAATTTATTCCATTTATCAACAATTGCCCCTCTTAAATCGCCAAGATTTTGCAAAGGTGGATCTCTGCGATTGAGATTTATGCCAATGGCATCCCAGACATGTTCGATAGAGTTCAGGTCTGGAGACATGGAAGGTCAAAAGAAAGTGTCAATGGCTTCTTGATCTTTGTAATCGGTTACAATCCTTGCCCTGCGTGGTCTAGCGATGTCGTCCATGTACGAGGGTCTTGACGCAAGTTGGGGATTCTCAAAATGAGGGACTACAGTGTTTCTAAGCACCAAATCCCTGTATGTCTGTCTGTTCATGTTACCCTGCAAAATATGCATACCCAGCTTACAACAGTATGAGAAGAAACCCCATACTGTTACACCACCATCAACGATTGCTGTCGTTGGGCAATTGTTGTTTTGGTGATAGGCAGTTTTATTTCCCCGCCAAACTCGTATTCTGCCGTCTATTGGTCGTAACAGAAACCAACTCTCATCTGACCAATGAATATTTTGCCAGGTTCTCATGTTCCATTGTCGATGGTCATTAGCCAATTGAAACCTGATTATACGGTGCCTGGCTATTAGGGTCCGTCTTTTGACAACACGACGTGCTCTTAGGAAGCCTCTATGAAGTCGACGGACTAATGTTCGAACACTAACACAACCACCTGGAGGCCAGTGGTGTCTAAGCTATAGGGCAGGAGTAAATGGGTTGGCTTTAGCACGACCAATAAGTAGTCTGTCATCACGATAGGTAGTGAAACGGGGTCTTCCGGACCTTGGTCTATCATTTACAGTTTCTGTGTCAATATGACGTTGTAAAAATCTAACAATGACGGTGCGATTAACATTGAAATGGTTACCAATGCTCCTAGTGCTATCGGCATTTGACATGTCAATTGCTTGTCAACGTTCAATCACAGATAACTTACCGCTTGCCATATTTCACAGTGACTTGGTGAAGGTCAAATTTCACCTGTACGCTGGACAGTAGGAAGATGATTTAAAGGCATCGAAACAGTGTATTTGTAAAAGTGCAGATGACCTTTAATAAAAGATTGCTTGTCGGGTATATCGGAGTTTAATTTTTTTGGTCGTAATGAATTTTCTTAGTGTATGCTATAGGCAATTCATAACACCAAACATAAATATTTTTTCCGCAATAGTTCAAAAAATATTGACAGTTATATTTAGGTGGTGCTTAACTTTTGGCGGACTGTATATATTGCTGATGCCAAAGAAATTTGCACTCTACATAACATATCCTGTCATCGTTCAATATTACAACTTGAGTGTGAATGCAGTGACAATGTCTGTGTCCTTGGAAATACTTTTCTTGTAATTCCGTTATCGGCCACAAACTTTCCGTCGATAGCCCTACTGCAAACGATGTTTTGGCCACCTACCTTATAAGTTCTGCCAATCATCCAAAGAAGGCCAATAGATAAGACGGTAATATGTTTCTTGAAATAGGTATACATGTATGTGTGTCATCTTTGGTAGTCGAAACACTAGGGTCAACTATTTCAGAAAGCATATAATAAAACGGGTACGATTGTAACCATATCACAAAAGAATAATTCTATTTCCCGGGGAAAGCTGATAATCTGTCTGAAGAGACCATTAACATCGGCTACAATTCAAAGTAACGTTTCAGGAGTTTCACCTGTAAAAAGAATATAGTTTGCTTGCAAAACAAGTGAACATATTTGTTCGTATTAATAGTTCCACTCGCTTTACAAAAGCGGGCGGTATATAGTAATTAGGAGTCGTACATCTTTTATACCATTACACTTTTGTATCCGCAAATGTTCCCTAACCGACTTAAATAGTGTGTGAAGTTTTTTTAACAATGACGTTTAAATCTTGTAAACGGTATTTTTTCTACTGTAAGATTCGGATCAATTAACATTGTGTGTGTAAATTGAAATATCTTTACAAGCAAACAGCATTTAAATCAAGAATGACGTAATATAGTTTTATTTGATAACATATAACTACTTTATTTCTTTAGACATGTCGTCATCGTTTAAAAAACTTGTTTGACTTCAATTAAATCTAAAATTAGGTTCACAGACATCCCTGTACTTTAAAAGACAACCTGAGTGCTTTAAGAATATTTAAACGAAGTTCTTGGGGGTCTATACTTTGAAATTCTTGATTTAATTTAAAATGTAATGCATGTATATGTTTAATGCAACTTAAGTTACTTTAATTTTTTTAAACGAGGAAACGATGCAAAGGGGCACTTAGAACCCATAAGTCGAAGAAAAAAGACTCCACCATGGTCAAAAGAAAAACGACGAAAATACAAACAAGTCCACAAAAACTCCACAAAGAAACATAAAGTTCATTATGAAAAAAAAAATATCAACTGATTTTGACGAATCATGGTATATGTTGTCCAATTATAGCGGTAAAGTTTAAATAATTGAGACCTCTGACAGATAAGGATAATTTGACAAACCATATGGTAAATTGAATCAAATTGTCGCTAACGATAGTCGAAAATTAACAATTTGTGTCTGACGATAAAAGGCATTTTAACCATCTTCAAAGATTTATAGGATCACTTATTACAATACGGGCCAGTATATATAAAGACGAATATATATCTGCTATATATATTCATTGCATTGAAAGATATTTGTTGTTTTATTTTTCTAATTGATCTCGTTAGGCCGTCAATTAACAATTTATAGTAACAGAACTTATTGAAATGCATCAAACTGACAAGTTGTCACAGCAAGCTAAGATGGTCAGTTAGGGTAAACTGAGAAGAAAAAAAATCTAGACAAAAACAAACACAAATCATATTAAACGTAAAAACAACGAAGAGCCGCTGGTCTGACAAGTGTTTCAAACTGGTCCGAGTTGTCTTTAAAACTTGTTCGAGCTGTCTATAAAAGTTGTCTGAGTTGTCCTCAAATTGGCCAGAGTTGTCTTAGTCCGATTTGCCTTTGGGTCCAAATTGTCCCGATTCCACCTCTCAAGCTGCCATTTTTTAACAAAATTTCTTTGAAGACCTGTTGTTCAACTATAGAAAAACATCATAGGAGTTAGTCTTTGTTTGAACCGACGTTTTATATTTACACTTTGAAACGACCCAAGATTTAAATGCTACCTGTAAATGTAATTGTAATACTAATCGTAGGTGTATAACCTTCTATAAAACCCTGATACAACTGAATCCGGACGTTGACGCGTTTGAAGCGATAATCAGGCCAACATTTGGGATGGCAACAATTTCGAATGCCTTTCTAGAACATATGTGAGTATATATCTATGTGTATATGAACATGGTAGTTCATCTAATCAATTATAAAGTTGTTGCAAGTTTAAGATTTTGTAAAACATGTTTGATGAAACTGCTAGATGCAAAACGCACAGGCATGGTGCAATTTTCTACTTTTTATGAGGTAACAATGTTCAATATCTTTTCTTACATTAATTTTTGCGTAGCAATACTTTAAGCAATAACAAATAACTGCACGCAAAATTGCCACGTACTTTCAATTGTTCCCTAGAACTCCAAAATAAACACGATATCGGATTAAATAAGTTCACCTTATACTGTATCGTTCGTTTCATCAAATATGTCAAGTTTTTTGCTCTCTTACGAATAATAACTGTACAATTCGTTGACAAAAACCGTCACAAATCCCTGTCTTTTTAACGTATTCGTGATGGCAACAGCACCTCTTTTTTTGTATTTTATTTTAAATTTGCTTCTCTTAACTTTGTCAAAGGATAAAACCATGAAATTATTAGTCATTCAAAGCCATAATTCAAATGTTTTATCCAGCGCACAGCTGAAGGCATATTTTTTATTGAAGACTAGGAGTTTAGATGATATTTCTGATGAAAGTTTAAAATATATATATATTACAGCTAATACAACTTCAATATCTTAATTGTCACGATTTTTAGCCTCTCTTAAATGACGAGTCAAGCAAGTCCTTTCCAACTGTTTCATTGTCAATTCTTATCTTGCGTTTGTTTGTACTGTATTCCTGTCACGTAGTGTTGTCATTTTAGCGATATTGTTAACATTGTCATATAAACGGGAGATTTGGCTAGCCATATAACCAGGTTCAACCCACCATTTTTTCTTATAATGTCCAGTACCAAGTCAGGAATATGGCAGTTGTTATCTACAGTCCGTTTATATTTATGTTGGCGTAGGCTTTTGTTGTAGTTCAGTGTTTCTATTGTTCTGTTGTTTTATAGTCGATGAGTTTCCCTCGGTTTTAGTTTGGTACCGGGATTTGTTTTTGCTTAATCAAATTATGATTATTGAACAGCGGTATACTACTGTTGCTTTAATTGATACCACCGTCTAAGGTTGAGTATAGGATTGATTTGCAAACATGTTTAACCCCGCCGCATTATTTGCCACCGGTATCATTGACAGGGGCGGACCCATACATTTTTCAGGGAGTGTCACCAATACTAACTTTCAAAACGTTTAATTTTTCTTTGTTGATAAAGGTCATGTATGTAGCAACAAAGCAAACGGTAACCTATGGTTTATAACATTGATTTAAATTTAAATTTAATTCTCTTTGAAGTCTGCGAGCAAAAGTGTAAACGGGCTCATGACATTCTTTGTGTAAACATAGTGCAAGCGCTACCCAAAGGATTGACTGGGGTTATAGAAAAATGGTCATCCCTTGATCTTTTGGCGAACGGCAGTGAAACGTTTATCAAAGTGGGCGTCCGTTTGGCTGTGTGGGATATATAAATTTCCAGCCTCGTCCGGTCAGAATTGGAACGTTAAAACCGATGCCTCGATTAGAGAGTGCCACTCACTTTGAATGGTAAACAAAACTTACAACTCTTTGATGGTTCCATGGGTGGCATTTTTCAAGGCTAAATTTCATTTTCCGATGGCATTCCACCTCCTCTCCACCAAAAAATATCCCAATCAACCCCTTATCATAGGACCTACATATTGTATTTACTATTATTTTGTTTGAGTCCTGAACATGCATGAAATATTTGCCATTGGACACTAAGAATACAACAACCAATCAATCATAATGCACGTGCATCAGATTTTTTTAAAATATTTTTTGTATAAAAATTTGCTTGATATATGATAATTCAAGGAAACTACTAAAATTTTTTTTTATAAAAAAAGAAAAAAGTGTTTTCTTAGTTTAAAGAAAAATAATCTCAAAACTGAATTGTGACTTTTTGTCCTGTGGAAAGTAAAATAACAAAAATACCGAACTCAAAGGAAAATTCAAAACGGAAAGTCCAATGGCAAAATCAAAAACGCAAACACATCAAACGAATGGAAAACAACTGTCGTATTCGTGACTTGGTACAGGCATTTCCTTATGTAGAACATGGTGGATTAAACCTGGTTTTATAGATAGCTAAACCATCACATGTATGACAGTTGCATAAAATTGCATTAAATTGATAACAATGTGTGAACGAAACAAACAGACATAATAGGAATAATAAATTTCTGTTCTACATTCGATCTCTACACCATGCACAATTCCCCTGGAAATAGTACAAGTAAGCAGTTCATATATACATGTAAAGTAAGGAAGCCTCGATCATCAAACAAATGCTGAATTGTGCATGCTTATGCACGTAAAGTAATACAGCCAGGTTCGTTAAATGTATTCGAAAAATTCATGTCACTGCTGCATCTCTCGTTGATATACGTTTCCGAGTCATATGTTTAAATAATTTAAAACTGGTTATGCGTAGCGATGTCGTTTGTTTGAAGATTGAAGTTTCAATGATCATTTTCATTTTTTTTTAAATATATAGATGAAAAGAAATATGACGAAAAACCAAACCTTGTTTTCTGGACTAATATTTCAAACGCGTCGATTCCGAATCGAAGCTTCCACATGTTTAACTCGTTACAAGAAAGATAGGACACAAAAGTTTAGTTTTTACATTCTTTCCATCCCAAGTAACCTTCATATATACTACTAGTACTTCCTTTGCTCGTATTTACTTGCTCATATTGAATATTGATGCATTTATATATAATATATATAAATGAGGAAATGGGGTGAATATAAATGAGACAACTATCCCACAGAGTAAAAATGAAGTGGTAGTAAGCAATTATATGCCACCGTACGGCATTCAACAATGAAGAAAAACCATTACGTTTAGTCGGCTCTGACATGATAAATGTGAAAAATTTCAAACGAGAAAACTACAGTCTTATTAATAACAACGACAACCACTGTATTTAAGGTTCCTGGCTTCGGACATGCACATAAAGAATGTTTCGGGGTTAAAAATATTTTATGAGCGCACAATACTTCCTCTAAACTGGGACAGTGGTGAAACAGTAGATCAAACTGTAAAAATTAGTTGCAATTGGCCTAAATCAAACGATCGGTACGAGGCACTAAAACAGCCAATATAACAACAATAGACACAAATCACAGAAATAAGAGTATTCGCAGTTACTGAAAGATAGTTCAAAGCCAATCATAACTATCAAATAAATCATATTCTCCAAGACTAAAATATCAATCAGTACCCAACCAACGGATTTAGTGTAAATAAGTCATAAACAGTTTGAGAAACGCATGCCATTGTGCATTTTGTCTGCTTGTACATAATTATGTTAAATATGTTATATTAAATCCGATCTTGAAGCAACTTCACAAAAAGACTTAATTTATATTCAGTAAAATAAGGAAGTGGAATACCATTCAGTCTTCAATATTCGCAATTAGACTAGAGTATGGAAACGGGGGATGTATCAAAGAGACAACAACCTGACCAAAAGAGCAGCACACGGGCCAATGCCACCAATGGGTCTTCAATGCAGCGCTAGCGAGAAAGTCTCTTACCTTTAGGAGGGCTTCAGTTGAACAATTATGTATACTAGTTCAGCGAAATGGACGCCACACTAAACTCCGAAACATACAAATGACCCAAAACTAATAAAAAAAAACAAAAAAAACAAGACTAGCGAATACTAAAGGTTTCTGACTTGAGACAGAGGCTAAAATACGTCAGGGTAAAATATGTTATGTGAGATCTCAAACCTCACCCTATGCCTCTAGCTAGTGTGGAATAAACAAACACACAGTTGAGTTAGATTTTTATAGACCAACCTACGTCGAAATTAAGTTACATGTATGTCTTAATAGCTAACAGGATCATTTAATAATTTTTATGAATTCAATATGAAAAATGTATAATTCAAATGATAAATATGTTCAAAATTAATAACTTTAGACACATTTTTTATGAATGATCTATATATTTACCTGCGTTATCTGTAAAATGCAAGCCAAGTCAAGAGCCATAGTCTTTTTAATTGCTGTCTGGCATGTTTTGATTGTTTTCATTGGTTGATGTAGTATAAATTAGGCCTCTTGTTTTTTTTAACTAGCTCACGTTTATTCGTCCTATACTGTAGGGAATTTGCTTATGGTTGAATGTCGTACTGTTAACGTTTACCAAATGTTATCAAATTGGCAGTACCACGCATATATCCGTGCGCTCGGCCAGTGATATCTGTAATTTGTCGCGCGATTGTATTTTCTAACCAATTTACACTTTCATATTGTTTATGACACTTCTTGCATGTACAAAAGAAATAAAATACCAAGTGTGTTTCAACTATGCAACGGATATTGAATGTTGGCTTATATATGGCGGTGAAATAATGTTTTTGTCATGTATATTGTTATCCACATATTAAAACATGTGTTTTAATACATGTAAAATTCATTTGAAAAATACAAAGATTTCGCAAAGAATCGTACAGTATGAAATAGTGTACAGATAACGAAACGTATACAATTTGAAAATAAAGGCATGTGAAATCATGTATTTTTTTGGTTTCTAGATAACACATAAACCTAGAGTCTTTACAAGTGTGATAAGTCTTAACGATAATATTATCAAAAATGTATGTTTTAAAATATATGATGCACGGGAAACTTGAATTTATAATTATCAAAAATAGTGAACATGCTTTTATCAGTGGCAAATTCGTGCATTTTTTTTATATTGGCATATAAAAATAATCAAATTTTTTAAATAAAAAACTTGCAGTAAGAAATGAGTAATACAGCAAAATACCCAAAGAATAAATATTGGGATTTCCTTAAAATTGTAAATTCTCCTCTGTCTGAACTCGATAGTACACGCTGTGTTCGATTCGAACGCGTCAACGTCCGGATTCATTTGTATAGGGGTTATACGGGGTGATGACAATTTCCGCAAATGTCTACTAATTCGAATGTATGATCTACAATGTTCAAAAAA